AAAAACCAAGGATACAAAATCCCTGAACATGCAAATTAATCTTTAGTGACAGAAAACATCCTCTGGTTAAACCCAGGCCAAGAGGAAGGAGCATGAGAGCAATTACTGAGAGGAACAGTAAAGCTTTAGGGAGCAATGGATAATCATTATGTTGAACATCTTCAACTGTGGTGATAGCTTCAAGGGATTAGTTATATTTGAGACAACATCATGATTTTTATGGGCTCTAGTCACTTCTTTGCTTTCATGGGCCCTTCCACCATAAAATATATATATATTTAAAATTTATAATTTAAAACTGTGTTGATATAAAGATGTGTTAGTAATAACAGATTAAATCATTTTATGTATAAAAGTCCACTTTTTTTCTTATGACTTCAAAGAAATTAAAACAYCTTCATGGGCCCCTAAAGTATCAAGGGCCCTCAGCACTGCCTGTTGAGCCTAAAGACTTAGTCAACCCCAAATATGACAATCCTTATCAACTGTATACTATGAATATATACAATTTATTATATGTAAGAAAGGTATTTCCAACAATCAGATCTAATATGAGAATTAAGTAAATCTCTCTTSCTATGGCACTTTAATTAATATATGTTATAAATTCCTTTTATTAAAAAAAGGTAAAAAAGTCAAGAGAAAACATTTACTCCACAAAGCACTAAACTATCTGCTGATTAATCCTATTTATAAAGTCTTCAGGCTCACTGAATTACACATGTGTTCTCTACAGTAAGTAACAGATATCACTGTTTATCTCTTGCCATTCAATATAAGCGGTCTTTTAACAAACAGTTTTACAACACAGACTATCCCAATCCACCTAAAGTAAGAGAAAGACATTTTAGAGAACTATGTAGAAGAAACATAGCTAACATAGAACATAGTGAAAGATCAGAAATAATACCTACCATTAAATATTTACAATTAACTAATAATTAGTCATTACTATGGGTGGAACTTATTTGAAAACACCATCACTGAAGATAGAATTAGTTAGGATGAAGCCATACTGGAGGAGATGAAGCCATACTGGAGGAGGTGGGCCTTTAAAACAACATTAATGCTGTCCTAATAAGAGAAAAGACAATGAGAAGACATTCATAAGGGGAGAACATCAGCATGTAATGATGATGGCAAAAAGTGAAATGCTGCAACTGCCTACTAGGAATGCAAAAGATCAATGCAAACCATCAAAAGGTAGGAAGAGCAGGGAGGGGTGGCACACACCTGTGATCCCAGCTACTGGGGAGGCTGAGTTCTCAAGTTTGAGAACTGGGCAACTGAGACAGCCCCTGTCTCGAAATAAAGTAAAAAGGGCTGAGATGTGTAGCTCAGTAGTAGAGAACCCCCAGGTTCAATCTCCAGTACAACAAATACAAAAAGAAAAGAAAAGCAAGAAAGAAGTTAGTAAAGATTCTCCCCTATAGGTTTCAGAAGGAGCATGACTCTTCTGAGAATTTTCTTTTGAAYTACTGCCTCTAAAACGGTTAGGCAACAAATTTCTGTGGTTTTAAGCCACCAAGTTTGTGATACTCTGATATAATAGACCTAGGAAACTAAAACATTATGCTGTATGTAATTGCTTACAATAAACCCATAGGATTTTCCCACCTACGGCTAATTCTTTATTCAAAACTATGAAAATATTACAGTACTTTCAGAAAGTCTTTCTGTTGGCTGGCAGTTGTTTACAACATGCTTGAGTCAAATAATAATATTTCTCATAGCTTTTAATCCGAAAACATTCTTATAACATGGTAATTTTTGATGTTCATTCCTCACACTGGCAAGCTGAAACATAAACTGTTTTTTTCTGACTCTAGAGCCCATCAAGCTTATTCAACTATTCCAATAGATTTAAAACAAAAACAAAAAACTTATGAAGCCTGGTGAAAACTCATCTTTAAATTTTTACCCCCCAAAATATTTTAAATATATTAAACTTCAGTACAAAAAAGTTTCTGAAATTCTGACATTTATAAGCCAGCATGAATTTATAAAAGTTACCAAAGAATTTTAAAATATTAATTTGTTGAAATGTAGTATATATTATGTTAAGTTGATAAAAGTTTCTCAGTTTCAACAATTTATACTTCCTCATAAATTTTTCCAATCTTTTTGGGAAAGAACAAGACAATCAAACATAACTTGAAGAGTATAGTCTATGGTTTATTCATTTAAGAGCAGTGGAGGAAGAAAAGCTTAAATCCAGTTACTAWAGTTAATCTACTTTTCTTTGAGGATCAATCCTAACAATGACCATCAACATGGAGAAACTTAAAAAAAAAAAAAAAAGACAGAGTTACAATAACTTCCTTAATAGCTTCATTTTGGATTAACAGCTTTAAATCTGAACCCTAAAATTAGAAAGGAAAGAAATCCTAAAGGAAAACATCATCCTTCCAACATAAATCTCTCAAATCTTCTTTTAGCATGGCGTACTATTTAAACAGAGGAAGAATCACTATAGAAAGCTCTAAATTACTGAGTTTTCTAAGTTAATTAGGGAAGAGACCCTCAAATTACTAAAAATGACAAAGAGATCAAGATGGAGATATTTGGTCACTAAACTGTTTATTCTTTTAGAAGAAAAAGTTAAAATTAGTTTTTCTTTTGTAAAATGAAATTATTTACAGATTAAGGAATATATGTGAATTAAAAACAGGGCTGAAGATGTAGCTCAATGGTAGGCAGAATGCTTGACTAGCATGTATGAAGCCCTAGGTTCAACTCCCAGTAGCTCCTATATATACACACACAAACATACATACAAATACATGTATATTTAGTATTAGTTAGGACTCATTCTCAGTCACATTACTACATTGCGTACTTAAAATATATTACATTAATATAAGCACTACGCTAGTTATCAGAATCATCTCATTAAATCCTAATCACCTTACAATAAAAGCACTAATATTATTACCACTCCACAGACTAGAAAGGGGGACACATAGGATAAGTAACTTACATCATATCATGGAGCCAGTGAGAGAGCTATATGAAAATCCAGGTCTGCCTGCCCTCAAAGCCCACTCTTAAGTCACTACTACACTACATTGATCCTAAATTGGTTTTTACTGTGATACAAACATTTCATCTTGTTACATTTCATCACATATTCCAGGACTATGTATAATCTTTGCCTAAGTAATGTTGAGTCACCCCACCAAATAATATTTATTATGAGCAAAGAAGAATCCAAGATATTTTAAAATATGCTSAGCTTTATTAAAAAATATTTTTAAAAAAAAAACTAGAAAAGTCCTGAACCCTCTGTTTTAGAATAAAATTTAACCAAATAGTTCATGTGGACAAGCTCTCCTTTATAAGACATTTGCAGTTAATAAATATAGGAAAAAGGAGAAAATTTAAAAATCAATGTTTTATAACCCCTAATAAAATAACAGATCCAGGTAATGCATAAGTGAAAAATTATTAAGTGACAAGTATATGGGAACATTCCAATGAATGGATTGCCCCAACTAATTACCTTACATTACACAAAACAAGGTACCCTGCACCACTTCTGAAATATTTTGATTAAAACCAAAGTAAATACAATCATATTACTAGCTCTGCCAGTATACAGAAAATTCAAGGAACATACCTGTTTGCTAAATGACCCCAGCATAGTCACCCTAATCCAGAATGTGGAACATTCTAAAGAAATATCACACAAGTCCTTCAACAAATAGAATCAAAAAATGGGGGGAATTTTATGGATTTTAAAAGTTTATGAGACAKGTCAATCAGAGACCTCGTCTGGACCTTGATTTGAACAAGCCAACTGTAAAAAGGGCATTCCTTTGATAATCAGAAAATATGAGATGATACAAAGAAAGTATTATTAATTTTGGTAGGTACACAAATGACATTTTGGTGAGACACAAAATATGTCTATATCTGATAATGATCACACTAAAGAATTTACAGGTGAAATGTAATGGTGGATATTTATTTTAAAATATTCCAGGAAAAAATACGAGCAGAAAAAGTAAAACAGAAATACAAATGGCAGGATATTAATTGCTGTGGAAATTGGGTGACAGGTGCATGCAGAGTTCATTATACTATTATCTCTACTTTCGAATAAACTTGGAAACTTCCTAAATACAAAAAGTAATAATGTGTATACCTTGTTTGGATTCTGATTCCAACAAACCAATTTTGAAAGGGCAATTTTGAGATAACTAAAGAACACAGGCTAGATTTCAAATTATATGACGGATTTAATAATTTCGTTGAATGTCATTAGAGTATTAATAGCTATTTTTAAGTCTTCTTTTASAATTATACACTTAAGTATTTAAGAGAAAAACAATAATATTCAGAGAMAATCATCCCAGAGAAAATATCTAGAATTTGCTTAAAAGTACCCCAGGAAAAACAAACAAAAAGTATGGAGAAGAAACAAACAAAACAAAAATGGTACAATGTTTATAACTGCTGAACACAATAAGTAATTAATGTAATTAATTTAATTAGTCTAATAGTAAAAATTCTGTTATGTATGTTTGAAAAATTACATAATAAAAAAGTTTTTAAAGAATGACCTCTAGGCTTAGGAAAATACTAAATATAAACAAATAATTGCAAATTGCTTTCATTTTCTGAGGTTAAAAGGATAAGTGAATAAAAATATATACAACACATAAATAAAATATATCTTAAGATACATATCACAAAAAAGACACAAAAGAGAAATAGAAATATATAAATTTAAGAAATATTCAGATTTTCATGAGAATTAAGGAACTAGTCATTAAAAGACTGCAAAATTGGGTGAGGAATATAGTAGGCACTCAATAAATGTTTCTGAATGAATGAATATTCTATAAATTATCTTATTTCATCTTATAGAAACTAAGACTGTTCAAAGTCTAAATTTCTATAAACATTATAACTTAATTCAACCTGTACACTTCAAAATAATGAGGCCCAGAATAACAAAAGATATATCTCTGTTTACATTCAAAACATTTACTCACTTCATAAGACCTGAATTCTTCTTACTAAATGGTCCGATGATTTTGAACATCAGTTCCACAACTCCATTTTTCCCTAAAGATACTGAATTCACAGCTGAAAGGGAGAGAAAAAGATACAAAATGATTTAAAAACTTCAGTAACTGAAAATATGTACACTTACTGATACATAGCCAAAAATATATACAAAGTGTTTAATAAATGTGAACTCAAGTCACTCTTAGCTTAAGTCCACCTTAATTAAATGCTTAAGGGAAGATGTTCTTTTTTTTCCCTCTTTTGTTTTATGGGAAGTTGCAAGGAAATTCTGAAACAAATTACAGACCAAAAATATATATATATTACAAAAAAAGACTCCAGCTGGATGCAGTAGCACACGCATATAATCCCAGGAGCTCACAAGATTAAGGCAGGAGAATCTCAAGTTCAAAGCCAACCTCAGCAAAAAAAAAAAAAAAAAAAAAAAAAAAAACCACTCCAGTTGCTCTATTTGTTTCTTCAATCAATTTGGTCAACATGGGGATTGAGAGACAATAGTAAACAGTCTCTGCCTTGACAAAGCATAGTGTTGAGAGAATGAGAGAAACCATAAACAAATAGCTACTTAATTACATTCCAATAAATTGTGAGTTATAGGCTATTTGGGTTACATCACCCTGCTCAACATTTTCAAATCTGAATACATATATTTTTTAAAATTTTAGATGAACTATGCTAGTCAGTGGCTAATTCAATAAAACACCACCAAAAATGTACCTCTTAATGTTTTGTAAAATGATATTAATTTCCTCTTAGTTCGTTACTTCGTTATCCTTTCTAATTTTATGGTTGTGCTTTCTATTTCCTTGATTATATTTGGTGATTTAGCCATTTTGGTTTTTTTCTGTAATTT